TTATAGTGTTGGTTCTACTGGTAGGTCACGGTTAGGGTTAATGATGGCATCCTTCCTAGCATTTGATGGATAGATGTTGATCAATGAGAAGGAAACCTTGACTCCTTGGATCAAGGTCTTCAAAGGCGCAAGGAATGGTGAAGGAAAGGTGGAGATGGACGTTGAAGGTGAAGTGTTTGAGGGAATGTTTGAGAGGTGCACTCTAGGTTTGGCTCACTCCAAGGTAAATGAAGGTCACTTCTAGGGTTTTTCTCTCAAGGTGGAGATAGGATGGGAGGTGGCCGAAAATAGCCAAGGGGACTAAGGATGATATAAAGGCAAAATGTTCTCTTTATATTCAATATCCAAAGTATTTACAAGGTGTGGTGCCTTGGGTATTTATAGGAGTGGGAGGCATCTACGGTTGCATTTAGGGTTCCTTGGCCAAAATTCACCTTGCCAATGCACACCAAATGAAACCTAAATTAACCCTAGATGCAACTTGGTGGCCAAGGATAGAATCTTTGGGTTTAGTTAGGCTAAATATAGGTGCATGATAAGATCATGCAACCTTTGCCCTCCACTTGGGCCTAAGCCTTTCTAAGTCCAAAAATAGGTCCAAAGCTACCAAAAAAATTGCGTTACCCTCCTAATTAAAACCCTAGCCCAAAAATTAAAACCCTATTATCTAAAGCACCCCATAATACAAGGGTAAAATTGAAAATACAAATAAAATAAATTCTGACTAAAATATCCCAAAGTACAAGGGTAAAATTGGAATAAAGCAATAAAATTCTATGTTACTCAAATTGGGCCTAGGAGATGGATCCATACATGATATCTCTTTTATCTTCCTCCATTCTCCTAACCATGATCCATGAGGATGGTCCTCCATCAGTTAAGTTCCTCTTTCTTTCCTATACCTATTTCAAGAGGATTCGTTCATGCTTTATAATCTTATCATTTGGTTTCAGAGCTTCGACTCTTGAATCTGGTGTTATCTATCCTTTACCCTTTTATCTTTTTTAATTAAAAGAAATGGATGTTGCTCTCAAGTTGTTAATGAAGGATTTTCAAACAGGATTCCAACTCCAAAATGCAAAATTAGATAATCTTGAATTTTCGTCTAGATCTAGAAATCTGAGGCAACACACTTATAAAAGGGAGTATTCAAATGGGCATTATTAGTGGATAAAAATAAGAGAGTGGAGAAATAAAAAGAAGTTGAAATTGAAAGAATTAAGAAATACAGATAATAGAAAATGAGTTCAAAGAAATTGAGAGAGAAAGAAACATAACAAACAACTTTATGTTCTAACCCTTTTCTTATAAGCAATGATTCTTTATTAAAGGGTTTTGATGAAGTTGTTCCAATGAAGGAATGCAAATCATCAAATGAAAACGAATTTGAATCTTCAAAAATGCAAGTTTTTGAAATAGTTGAAGGAACTCATTATGGATTTATTTCTTCTTTTCAACCTAATCCTATAAATTCTTTTGTTTTTATGCCTAAAGAATAATTGCACACAAAGATTCTATGGGCACAACAATTCAAGGAGATAGTGGATCCATATACAAAGTAAGAAGAAGTATTTGATTCGAGGACGAATCACATCAAAGAGGGAGGGAATGATAGGCACATGTAAAGGTTCAATACTTTAAAATATGATAATCAATTGATGGAAGACCCAATGAAAGGAAGATGATCAAAAAGAGTTAAAAATAAAAAATTGAAGAGCCTAATTAGCCCAACACCAATTACTAAAGATGCTACAGTGGGTTGGACTTTATTTGGATGGTTTACTTAGCTTTTGGGCTTAAAAGTTATTTAAGCCTTTTTCTTATTTTTATTGTAATTTTTTTTATTTATATTTATTAAATAAATCAAATGGTTTTCCATTTCTTTTAGGCTACTTAGTGGAAAATAAATGATAGTGGGACTTAAATGCCTAGTGGAGACTTAGTGGGGGTTAGTAGGAATTTAATTCAATTAAATGAAAGGTTGTTATTCTACTCTATAAATAGGACCCTCTTATAAGCATCTAAGGCAGATTTGAAATTAATACATATATGAGTTTTCCCTTTGTGAGAGCTTTTCTTTTGTTCTTGGATTAGAACTTTATAGTGCTGGTTCTACTAGCAAGTCACGATTAAGGTCACAATTCTCTTTTGATAATTTTGGTTCTACCAGTAAGTCGCAGTTAGGGTCATGTTCCTCTTTTTTTCCTATTCCTGTTTCAAGACAATCCATTTATGTTTCAGAATCTTGTTAAAAGGCTTGTATTACAGGATCGAGAAATAGTCTCCAACATTAATTGTTGCACAATGTGCTAATGATGAATGTGGTTGGAGGTGCAGAGCGCCTTTCTTAAACAAAAGCCAGAAAGGGAGGTTCGTAGGCTAATAAATGAACGTTCTTTTTCATCTCCAGTGATCTCACAAGATCATGTCAACCTTTGCTATGTATATATAAGCAAAAGTATTATTCCATTGGTGGAAAGTGATCCATCAATTTCAATACCAACAATAATAGCGCACATCAAAAGTGCGAAAGGCTACACAATCTTGTACTGAAAAGCATGGATGGCAAAACAAAAGGCAACTAAAGACTTATATGGAAATTGGGAAGAATCATACCATGATTTATCCAAGTTGTTGAATGCCATGAAAATATTTCTTAATGGATTTGTTGTTGAGAAGCAGACAAGGCCACTATACAACCAACAAGGTGAAATGGTTATTGATTATGTTCAATTCTATTGAGTATTTTGGACATTTAAACCTTGTATAGATGGGTTTAAATACTGAAAGCTCGTTGTTCAAGTTGATGACACATTCTTGTATGGAAAATACAAAGGAACTATCCTCGTGGTCGTGGCACAAGATGGTAACAACAAAATATTTCCAATTGCCTTTGCCATTATTAAGGGTTAAACAACAAATTCATGGTATTTCTTTGTACATTACCTAAAAAGACATCTTTTTCCTCAAGATAGCCTTTGCTTAATCTCCAACAGGCACGAGTCCATAAAAAATGTCCACTCTAGACAAAGTATTGGTTAGACACCAGAGAACTTAGTGCATGTGTTTTGCATTCGCCACATTGCCCAAAATTTCATGAGACATTTCAGGAATGCAAAAAGAAAAAAAAATAATCATCAACATGGGTATGTAGTTCTTTTTTATTTCTTTTTTTATCATCAATTAAATATTTATTCGTATTTATTTTACTATATTTCAACAATAATAAATTGATGATTTATTGCTCTTCAAAAATTCGCAGCTTATGGGATGTTTGAGCCTATGTTCAATTACCACTTTAATATATTGGGAAGCGAACCAGAAACTTAAGGTGTAATTGATTAGCTTAGCACTATTCCTAGAGAACAATGGACTCTTGCATGGGACCGTGCCCAACGATGGGGACACATGACTACCAACTTAGCAGAGGCAATAAATTCCATTCTTAGGAAAACAATAAATTTTCTAATATATGCAATTATCATGTTGACTTATAAGGGATGTAATTCATTATTCATCCTGAGACGGAAGGAAGTCATGTTAAACTCAAAGTTGGCTAAGTTTATATTGAAATAATAAATAGAGCGAGGAGAGATGTAAAATCCAAGGCTAATAGTCATCATGTCCTCAAGTTTGATCATCGTAGTAAATGTTTTCTGGTGCAAGAGACCATTAACATAAGGGAAGGATGACCGACTGGATCATTCACAATTAGACTGGATGAGAAGTGGTGTGACTATTGCATATTTCATAAGTTACACATGTCATTCTCCCATATTCTTGTCACATGTAAGCATGTTTACCACCATTACATATCTTACACATATCCAATATACTCATTAGAATATGTTTCTATTCCGATATGGAGGAAAAACCAGGATGGTACACTTTACAATGTGTATAATGAATTATTTGATGAATTATCCAAAGAATTTTACTAGCCAGAGTGTGACGAACTGCAAATCATACAAAATCTATGAAAAAATCAAAAATAAAAAATGTCGTCTGAAGTCATCCTGAATACCCACTGAAATAGATATGATTAAACCAGAACAATAAAAAAGATGTTCTCTGTGCAATAATGTATGTCACTCTAAGAAAAAATACCATTACCGTCAATGAAGTTCAAGTCAACAAGTTTAAATGGATGGTTTTTCATGGCTTACATCTCAATTTCAGTTGATTTTGTTGTGTGTCTTTTTCACAAATATCATGTTCTATAATTTTAATTTGTCATTTCATACCAACATTTTTTTTAAATTTTTAATTCCAATTTTAATATATAATAAAAAATATTACAATTTTTTAATAACAAATTTAATTATCTATAATTTTTAATGCGAACTAAATATATTAAATAAATTGCACATATTTACAAATATAAAAAATTAATTATTAAAATTTTTTATATTTTTTAAATTTTATTTAAATAATAAATATAATTTTTAAAATTTAAATATAGTTATACTATTATATATATTCTTAAAAATATTAAATTTAAATAATAAAAAATTATTCAAATTCTTAATTTTTAAATTAAATAAAAATCAAATTTTAAACTTTTAAAAAAATAGAAAACAAAAAATAAAAAATAAAATATCTCAATTGAAAAATCGATTGCTGGACAATTGATTTCCCACTAGACTTTTAAAAAGAAAAAGGAGGACCAAGTACCCAAATTATTTAAATAAATAAAAATATATATATTAAAAAAGTCTAACTTTTAATTCTTAATTCTATTATTAATATTTTATATACATTAAAAACTAAAATAATTTAAAAAAATACAAATATAAAAACTAAAATCCATCTTAAATTATATATAAAGTAAAAAAAAATATAAAAAATAAGTAAAATTATAGAAAATAAAAAAAAAATTTTAACCTTAAAAAATTAAAGCACTTGACTGGATTCATTATGAAATAAATAAATAAATAAAAACTAGATTCTTGAGCACATCACGGCGGCGACCAGTCTTAAACGGCAAAAGACTGGTGTGATGCCTTCATAGCTACCTTTTTCTTATTGCTTTCCTTTTCCGTGAAATTCTTGCTTACTTCGTAACTAGTGTTGCGTGTTTCATGTTTAATTTATCCTATATCACTGAAAGGGTTCAATCTGTTCATTTTGTTTAGCAAATGGATCAAGAATGGCGTAGATTTGGTCTTTAAGCGGTTCTAGATGTTTTTCTATACAAATATTTCCTTATCTTCTTACAATCAATTTGAATCTCAGGCTTTGGCCTTTGGGTAACTTTTATTTGTCCATGGTCATCATGTATAGGTTCACAATGTAATTTGAACTTTTCTCCCTTATTTCTTTCAGTTCCACAAGTTATGTTGATTGTTAAACCTTGTATAGAGAAAGACACACAGGGAGAGCATTGATTCCACGATAAACTTGCTACAGGCAGAAATGGAACCAATTACAACTTTACAAGCATAATGGGTTTGATGGCTGTTTGGAGGACAAAAAATCTAGGCAAGAGTCTTCCACTAACAAGGTTTCTTCATGCCTTGAAAGATAATCAATCAGGCCAAATTTTAATGTCTCCACCTCTTGCATCTTTGGACCTTCCTGACATCTGGACTCCTTCTTCACGTCGGAGTATTCCAGCAATACATAAAAGCTGTAAGTAACTAACTATCTTATTCCCTTGGAATGACTATTATTTTCATTTGTTTGATTCTTAACTTTTATCATTTTAGATGTTTTGTTGCTGTTCAACTGTAGTATTTTCACTTAATTGAGCAAAAGCTGGGTTTGTTGTCATTTATAGACTCCTGTGAACAACATATTACTTCCAATTCTCTTCCAATGTTAATTGTCTTGTCATTCTCCTCTTCTTCCAAGTATTGACAGATCAAGAGTGTCTGTATGTGATTTCTTGGTTTATTCAATTTCGTGTGTTTGACAACCGTTTCTTTAATAAATGTTAATAACTAGAAGTGATCCTCTTGAGACCTTTGAAGGAAAAGAAACAAAATTAACCACATGGTGGCTAGAAGTATGGCTTTGCAAGAGTCACGTGCTTAAGAAGAATACAGTGAACTCTATTGGATTAATTTATGTATCCAAATCATATGCTAACAAACTGTTTGGCTCTTTATGTTAGCTTGTGAGTATAACTCTTGATTGATTGCAATAAAGGCTACGAGTACGAGACTAACTGTGTATCCACAGGCAATGCCATTCAAACTCTTCAGATTCTATACCTATGAATAGATGGTTTTCTTTTTCTTTTATTAGGCATTCTTAATTTCCTTCTTTACATTTCATTCCTTAGATACTGTATTGAGGTTGGTGTTTGCTCAGTTAATGAGCAGACTGCTGTAGTATTGGATGGAAAGTTGATATCCATGGAAATCAGATCAAAAATAGCGGCTAAGGTGAGACAAATGAAGAAATGCCTAGGAAAAGTTCCTGGATTAGCTGTAATTTTAGTGGGCGAACGAAGGGATTCTCAAACTTATGTTCGCAACAAGATAATGGCCTGTGAAGAAGTTGGATTCAAGTCTTTGGTGACTGAATTACCCGCTGATTGTGCAGAAACAGATGTTCAAAATGAAATCAGGAGATTTAACAGAGATCCATCCATTCATGGTATTCTTGTGCAACTTCCTCTGCCACAAGTAATTTCTGAATCTATGACTTTTTACAAATAAGTTAGATCTGCTGAGTATTTATTTGGGAAAGGGGGGTACTGTCACAATCTTTTTAAAGCTTTTTTGGAAATGGTCAACCAGTGAAGTATTTTTTGGGCAGGGACCTAGAATTATAATCGCCTTACTTTGAAAAGGAGGGTTTTACCATCTGATTGTGCAATTTATCACATGAATTGTAAAAGAAAAATTAAAAGCATAGTCTATGATCTTCTGTTTTAAAAATAACACTCACAAAAATCTCTTAGAAATTGACTGTTTTTGTCAGAATATCAGATGATGTCTCAAAATTTATTATTTTATCATAGCAGAGTTTCTTTGATAATTTCTAATGAGTTATTTTTAAACTTCATTATATTTCTTGATTCATTTTCTTATTTGATTTGTTTCGTAACTTTCTGTGATAGTTTTACACTTTTTTGTTTTGATTTGATATGTTGCACCCCCAACAAAGCAAGAATCCCTTTTCTTTCCAATTTTTTTTGTTTTCAATCAATTTTTTCCTTCTTTTCCGTATTTTATATGATTTAGCTAGCTTTCTTTTATGATTACTGTTGTAATATTATAGAGATATTTTAGGAGATATGATACAGATTTGGTGTAGTTGACATTGTTTCTATTTTATATCAGATTGAATTTGTATTTACGTGGATGGCCTCATTGGCCTGCTTTCAGGAGATTTCCTATACATTGTGTAATTAGGATCATATATTTAGATTTAGCTCCATTTTTCCTTATTTTTTGCTTCTCGTTGTGTCTATATATTCATGTATCCTTCGTACAGTATAATCAATCACCAGTATACATATTCTTTAGTCTCTTGTTCAGGTCTCAAGTATTACTTTTCTCTTCATATTTATTTAAGTTGCTTTGGTGCCACACGTTTTTTCCATTATGGGAATATAGGCTAGTGCACTCTTCAAAATCTTTAAACCCCATGAAACGAACTAGCAAGAAAACTAAAGATCCAGGCTAGCAACAAAAACCAGAAGTTTCATGGATGTTTTTTGTGATTTCTGGAGCATCAATTGTAATGAGGAAAATAAATCCATTCACCGTGATCTACTATGCAAAAGGGCAAGTAGCATCAATATTGATTCAAATCCAATTTGTGAGCACTTAGCAGTGAAGTCGTCCTGCTATAGAAAGCTTTAAGATTATAAAGTCAAAAGTCAAGTCAGCTCAATAGAAAACTGCCTTCGACATTGTAATTTTTTCATCAACACAAAGTCAGAAATACCAAGCTCTCTTCTTGTCATTGACTTCTTTGAACTGTAGACCAGCTTGTTAAGCTGAGTAATTAGTTATATTCTTCTTTTCAATGACCAGTTTTCTGATTTTAGATGGCACGCTCTGTTTTGACTACATTGGTTATCCACTACCTGTACATCATTTTCCACTCACAACACACCCTACCCTATGGTTACCCGCTGGAATAAAACAATTACATACCCAAAAATATTGACATAACTAGAAAATACCACCTAAAGAGGAAAAACACAGGTGTATCACAAGCAACTTGACATCCTCGCAAGTAAACTTGATATCCTCATGGTGTGCATCTTTGGAGACAGAATCTAATGCTATCGTGAAAAAAGGAAACATAGGAATAAGATAGATACAAATATTTTATCAATAGCATAACAACAGATTATTGAATAACGTATCATATGAAGGCATGTGCATGTCGAGCCTTCCAAACTAAGCATATTGTTTGTCACAAACAAATGCATTAATTGCATTATTTATTATGTCTGATATCATCAATTTTTAACATATATCTTAGCAGATCAAAAGAATAAAAGTTTTTTTAGTACTTGAAATGAATGGAAAAGAACGAGGTTTCCTTTTTGTTTTAGAAAGAACAAGAAAATTCCTTAAAGTATCTAAAGTTAGTCAAAAGTCATTTTTGGACTTATGCATGTTACAACTCATTACCTTTTGTACCCATAAGTTGATAAGTAGCATCATGATTAGATAATATATGACAATTTGGTGAAATGTAATAAATGCACTAACGAACACATCTTCACATAAGGAAGCAAGCCTACAAAGGAAAACTGAAGGATTTGAGACGATCATCTTCCAATGTTGCATACATAAGAGGCATGGACAAGCTTAGAGAAAAAAAAAAGAATAATCTCATTTTCTATTCATTTTTTCTATATTCAAAATGTTTATCACATCTTTATACGTATGTAAAACGATACTTTTTTATTTTATCTAACTTAAACTTTGTGTTTTAGCTTGAAGCCTTAAAAAAATACTTAGTGTGGAAACCTAGAGTAGTTTTGTTATTCAAATAATACTTGAGTAGTTTGCTTGAAGAGATAAATCAAAGAACACTAAGGTTGAGCAAGTAGCGACTTGTGTAAAAAATACTTGTATTTTTTTGAAAGGTAGTGGAATTTGTAGTGGAACTTGATTAGTTGATTAACAACTAAATGTAATCTCGGTGATTGAGACAAACTAATTTAAAATTGTATTATGTTCTTTGATTTGTTTCATTTGCACACTTCAATTCACATGGTGGAGTAAAGAGACACACAAAAAGGGGGGGGGGGGGG